GTGGTGAATAATTTTGTTTTGCTGTAACATAATGCTCAAAAAAGATATTACATTACACCTTGGTGACTTGGTGTAACCTGAGCCTCAAAATTAGTCAAATAATAATAATCTTGTTTCATTTGTCAAATTGGACGAATATGAAGATATTTTAACTCATGTTTAAAAGAAATACAAATAAAATATTATGCAGAACTCAATCTAATATAAAAACCAAATTCTTTACTCAATAATTTGTTTCCCACAAAAAAATTCATTTGAGCTCAATCTCTAAGACCAAGATTCAAATTTATCCCTAAGCAAATAGTTTTAAATCTGTACAGTATGTGGTGAATAATTTTGTTTTGTTGTAACATAATGCTCAAAAGAGATATTACATTACACCTTGGTGACTTGGTGTAACCTGAGCCTCAAAATTAGTCAAATAATAATAATCTTCGACAAAATTTAAGAGAAGTAGAATAACAAAACCAAATTACAAGTTTTTGTTAATTTAACTTGGTCCTCGGTCTTGTACTTACCAGCTAACCTTACCCTGTCGTTGATGAGTTGGTGAAAGCCTAGCAGATCACTCTCCATATTCACATAACAAAAATTATAACAATAAAGATTAACACAAACCTGAATGGAAAGCACCAAATTTCTCTTCAATTGCTCCATCATGAAATTTATAGAGCACCACTGATCTAAGTTCATAGCATATCGGCAGCATTCGCAATAGATTCTAAGAGATTAGGAATGACGCAGAATAAAACATGATTTAGTCATGCCATCTGATGTTTCAAAATAAATTACCTGAGATAAGAGAGAATCAGCCATTTCTTTCTCCATCTTGTTGACGGCCTCTTGCTCCTTTTGTATCCATGAGTCCTGGACCATCCTTATTAGAAATTACATGTACAGAGTTTTTTACATGTCAACAACATCTTAGTATCTCTACTGCTAAAATGTAAAATAGCTTAAATCAAATTGTGAAAAGCTTGAAAAGATTTATACCCGAACCCTTCAATGCCCTCAAGGATAAGGAAAACATTAGTGAATCCATCTAACGGGATTTATCAGATATTGAAACAAATATGATAGTAATTAGTTGCAAAGGTCTTAATACATAATGAAACCTTAGACTAAACAAATTGAGAACCTCATTGAACATAAGTAGTAAGTTAATATATAAATGCATGCAGAATGAATATATATGCTGGGAAAAGCACGCAATGATATGCAATGTGAGGAAAAAAGCTAGCCTATATATAGGGGATTGATTTTGATTTTCGAATGGAGGTAAATGTTATATGGATGCCCATATATGTATATACTGATGTATATATAATACACCTTTGAGATCCCAAGGCTCCAGTTTGTTGAGATCAACTTCTCGGATGACATCGAGGTCAATGGCTTCTAAAGAGACTTTCTTCCTGAGATAGCAGCGTAGAAACTCCTGATCTGCTGGGCGGAACCTGAACCCTGTAGGCACTACTATGTGCCCACTTCCTTGCATCATTCTCTACTTTTTTGTTTTCATCTTAATGATTCTAGCTATCATATGAAAATAAAAGATAGTGAAGGGGCAAGAGAGAGAGAGAGAGAGACAGAGAGTCATATCAAAGGATAACATCAAGATGGATTAATGATGAAACATAATATATATAGTGTGGGAAAGAAAGTCATATCCTCACTAGGACTGCTCTTAGTAAACTACCATTTTTGGATATTCCAAAAACTGATGTAATAGGATAAAACGCAAAAGGGAAAAAAAATCCTTTTAGTCCTATGCATATGGAAACTTTTATCTTGGGTTTAAGGATCTGTTATAAGAAAGCAAAGAACTTTTTAATGGAGAATGATGCATGGAAGTGGGACGTATATATGAATCACGCATCAATGGCTTTTCTTCTCTTTTGTTTTGCCTATCAAATATTGACATAACCTCCAAAACAACAAAAGAAATCAACTCACCTGCGAATGAATGTAGGGCGGTCTGTGGTCACAAGTGAGTAAAGAGAGGCAATAGTCTAAGTTGTACAAAATGACTCCTAATTCACTTTCTTGTTACCTGCTTTGCTGATCCTTTCTTTCTATAGGACCCACCCTATTCTTATCTATGTACAAATGCCCAATCCTCACCGTCTGATTTTGATCAGATGATCACAGCCAACAGTGATCCCGTATGTAAGAAGCAGAGAGAAGTGCGTGAGTGTGTTTGGCACAGAACTTATTTTAAGGGAACAATGGCATACTGTAATTAAGATTTCTAAAAGAGGTGGAGCAAAAGCAATTTTTACAGGTTAATATTGTGTTAACATTAGGAGGCCTTAATTATAATGGAACCAAGCCACACTGCTACTAAAATGTTTATACATGAGATGCTCATAAACCCTCAAAACCACAAAAGAATCTGCAGGAAATGATTTGAAAACGCATAACGATAAGCATAGCTTGGCCTTAGTATGGTAAAATTAGCTGAATAGTGAAAATCCTACTTACTAAGAAACCTTGAAACAGAGGTAGAATGAAATACTTAGGAGCAGATCGGACTACCACAGTAGCCATGGCAGAAAAGCGCATCATCCACCATAAATGAAGATGAATCAGACTGAATCATTAAAACAAAAGGGCACGAAACAAAAACAGACCCAAAAGAATACCTTTGCTCTGCGCGATTCTTCTTCTTCGAGACTTGCCTTAGAGAGCGTTCCTTCGGAATCATCAAACTGTTCTCTCTACGCTTATGGCGTTATATAGAATGAACCGATTAGAGAGCGTTCGTTAGAAATAGTAGCCGTTGGAAATAAAATCCAGAAAATATTTTTGAACGTTATTACCGTAATCATTTTCCAAAAATATATCAAAGAAAAAGAAAAAAAATGTATTTCTAAAATGAATTGTAGCCGTTGGGAAAAAAATTTGAATTATAGCCGCTGAATCGCATGCAGCAATTAATAATAGATGGCTGTGGAAAATATTAGCCGTTGAAACTCAAATATGGAAAAGACTTTTAAAAATATGACCGTAATCATTTTCCATAAGCATGATCAAATAAAAAAGAAAAAAAATTCAATTTCCAAAATGAAATATAGCCGTTGGAACTTGGAATAGACGTGCTTAGACTTGGCCTCCACGCGAACCCAGAAAAAGAAACATTTTTTAATTAAATTACAATATTTAGTTCCTAAAATTACATATTTACTTTGAATAGGCAATAGCTCTTATTTCCCCCTATATAGTTGACCCAAAAAAAAAAATGTTTCCACCTGTGTAACCTGCAAATACACGCAGCACTCAGCAGGAATTGAAAGCATACATAGTAGATAATTTTGTAAACTCTTCAAATGGTCTATTTTTTATCCCAAAAAAAAAAAGGGTCTATCCATACTAGTTTGTCCCACTGCATGGTTAATTCTTTTGGGTTATCACCAAGTCTAATAACATCATATGATTCATGTAATTAATTTTATTTGCTGAAAACATGACTTGTTCTTGTTTTCGTTATGGATCACTCCTATGTCTCACTCATTGCTTATGGTTTATTGAATTAAAAAATGATATAAAAGGAAATGCTTTAAGTCAGGAAGTTAAAAGAGATTGAATTATTTCGAAATAACAAATTATAAAAATTGAATTTTCTAAAGTAAGGTTTAGAAATTAAATCAATAATTGAGAAAAACATTTAGGCACAAAATGTTATATTTTTCTCTAATGCTAGTTTCAAAAGCTATGCTTCATGATACTAATTAAATATGCATTAATTGTATTTTTGAGTATAAATACTATTCCAGTAAGAATAATTTAGGAAAAATCACAAAAAAAGACCGTAAAATTTGAAAAATTGGAAATAAAGACCTGTAACAGTATTATTATAAGTTTTGATAATAATAGTATAAGTTTTGACAATAATTTTTGTAAACAAGTCCCTGTCTGCAATTTTTCAAATTTCACGATTTTTTTTTTGCAATTTTCCCAATAATCTATTTTGCCAATAATTTTATAGCCTAATAACATATAACTTCTTTTGTAAATGGAAAGTAATGGTTTTAAATATTTCAAAAAAAAAAATAAGGCTGGCATAAGCCCATTCTATATGCTCTGAATTTGAAAGGAAAAAAAAAATACTGTTTCATATAATAATTTTAGGGATTCCATTTATTTCGATTTTTTATACTCAACAAATTACATAGACCAAAATGATTTAGAAAAAATGGACCAAATTGAAAAATGTAACCAAAATAGCTGAACCAAACAGACTAAATTTTCGCTCTGTAATATCTTTAATATGTGAACATGTCCATTTTGTCTCCAAAATTAAATGTTTCTTTTATCAAAATACTCATAATTAAACTTCATATCTATAGTATAAAAGAGAGTTACTAAATTAATTTGTGTAGATCAAGAAACTTAGATGAATTAGTTAATTATTACAAATATAATATGATGACCCTCCCAAAATGCCATATATAACACTAGATTATATATCACATTATTAGTTCAATGAATTAGTTTGGGAAAAATATGAATATAAAAAATAAAGTGGACCTATATTTTATATCCTAACTAGCTAGCTTCTATATCAGGGACCTGGCATCCATTTTTTCCTTAGTATTAAAAAGCTATAAATCAAATTAAATGTTAAGAATAATTATGAAAGAGTAGCACTAATATTTAATATATTAGTTAGAAATAAATAATTATATTATATATATATATATATATATATATTGTTTGACACCGCACAATCATGTGACTAAATTCTCATTCAAAGCATCACATCGGGAGACCACCCATTTACAATAATCGAAAATGCGAAATTATTAGAAAACATGTCTTATAAAATACAATTTCAATATGGTGAACATTTATTACATTCAAAGCAAGCTCAGAAACGTTATTCCTGATTTATTTTAAGTTATACTTTAATTAACCACAACAACGTAGGGTTTGGTAACAGATCCAATCCATAATTTCCCATAATGTTCGTTCACTTCGCTCACAGACTCGAGCTCTGAACCTCCTCTTCCATCCAAAGCCACCAAAGTCTTTGTCTTCTCATCAAACCTCACTCCCACAGGGTCATCTCCTAAGCCTTCGTTATTATTTTTAGCATTTTACGATGATGTTTTGTTACTGTTCAGACCGACCCAGAAATCTCCATTTTTGTTTCTCTTGATGTTATCTGGTGGCCTTTTAAGTTGTGTAAAGAGTTCTGAAGGGTAAGTTTTGGAGCCTTTGAGCCGGAACTTGTTGATCTTTCCTGAACTTGTTTCTGCTACTAGACGGAATGAGCCATCCTTGTTCAAAGCCACACCATTTGCAAATGCCAAGCCTTGCAGCAAGATCTCTACTTTCTCAGTTTTCGGATCATATTTCAGCAAACTTTGTGTTTTATCTCCTTTTTGGAATACCATTTCAGCTCCCCAATCTCAAAGAGGAAGTTATTAAAATGATGATATTAAGTTTCTCTGAATTTATGTTTTCAGTTGTGCCTATATATTGATGAAGAAAGGAAATTTTGCATTTGGATCTTGGTATATGATTATGATTATAATATAAACCATTATGCTTAAATAAGACATTTGAGCAAGACAGAGATATATACGTTGACCATATTTATAAGAGACGATCCATTGTTCATCAATCCATTAATATATTAACCTTGGATAATGCACTTCTTGGTATTTAATAAGATACATGATGACTTCGGTCAAGTATCTTTATTTAATTATCTGTGAATGGTGAACGTAGTTATAATTTTGTAATATTTAAGTAGATTTTATATAGTGACCTTTAATTTAGACCGTCACACTATATCATATGCTTATAAAAGCCATGTTAACTCTTCACATACCTTTTATATAAACTATATGCCTTTTCGTAACATCATATGTAAAGGTCATCTAAGATAAAATCCAAATCTAAAAGAAACATATATGTAGTCTCATAATAAGTACGAGCCTAAAAGGGAAACTTGTCCCAAAAATCTAACATATTAAAAAGGAAATCTCTTTAAAATTTTAAACCTCACCTTACTTGTGAGGCTCGCTGATGTGAGAATCAAATAGCTATGAAGATTCAACACGTACATGAAGACAGAGAAGAATACCTTCTGTGAAATAAATCACACCTGTTAGGCTATCAACAGCCAACTCATTTAGGAATTTGAAAGGAGCGCCGCCATCATAAGCAGAAATGGCTAGTTGTTTGGCGACACCACCACTAGGCCCAACCATGAGGAGTCCAAAGTATGCATCTGCTATATAAAGATTACAAGTTTTGCTGTCAAATTTGAGTCCCATTGGCCTCCCCCAAGGAGGCTTCTTGTTGGGATCTGTTGATCCATCACATGGTTTCCTATCCCTATAATCACACATTTGAAAAGATTTAGGTAGAAAAAGCTAAGATTTCAAACTAAGAAACAAATTATACTTCTACATGCCATATGTATATAGATGATCAATATTAATTACAGATCATTTTTGAATCAAAATTTTGTGAAATAGCTTTAATTGCCTGTTTGGTGAGGTGACAGCAAACTCAACCCATCCCTTGTGAGTTCTGACAAACTCAATTATTTTTATATATTTTGATATCTTTTATATGGGTTTTGTCAACTTAATTAGTCCCTTTTAACCTTAATTGATTGATTAATTGATTTAATATGTTTTATTGTGAATTATTATTTTATAGGGGCAAAATTGTCATATTTTGGTTTAATTGTGACTAATTGATTTTTGAGGACAATTAATACTACCTTATCCTTGAATTTTGCTTGCAGGTTCCTGGAAGATTCAAAAAAAAAAGGAAAAAAAAGAAAAATAATAAAAATAATAATTAGGGGGGCAAAACGTTGCGTTTTGCCCCAACCTAATATTCAGCTATTCTTCATCTTCTCCAGGAGAAGACCCGGAAGCTAGGCGGAGGCACGAACACAGAAGGCGAGCTGGGGGTTGGGGAAAAACAGAGGAGGCGGCACGCACAGACCAGACGGAGCGAGCAGAGGGCCGACGGCGCAAGTCCAAGGAGCATTCATATCTTCTCTGTAACATCCTAAGTCTTATCGGGTTTTAATAGCCTCTTTTGGGTTGATTTTTAGGATAGATTAGTGATTTAATCTTGATCTTGGTGTTTGGGTTGAATTTGAGGTTTGTTGGAGGAATAGGTGAACGTACCCCTCTCAGGGTATGTTCGCCGCGGCGAAGTAAATCGGGAGTTTCAGAGGGGAGTGTCTTCTCGGGAAGGTTTGGCCGCGGCGAAGTTGTTCAGGTGAGCGAGGCTTCCCTTTCGGGAAGGTTTTGCCGCGGCGAAGGTAGGGGTATGCTGCGGCGAATGTTTTCTGGGCGAGCGAGAGTTTCCTCTCGGGAAGCTTTCGCCATGGCAAAGTCGGGTTTTCAGGCGAGTAATCCCTCTCGGGATTAGTTCGCCGCGGCGAAGATTGGGGTTCGCCGCGGCGAAAGGTCGCGAATCTATATAGTCGCGGGAGGGTTCAGCGTGCGAAAATAAGAAAATCTGAAGGAGGAGAGAGGAGCTCTGCTAGGGTTTCGAACTTTTGGCTTGGAGGGGGCATTTCTAAGGATCCATTACCTCAAGTAAGTGATTTTAACCTCTAATCTTCTTTCTTTCTTGGAATTTCTGAGGATTTTTGGTGGAACCCTAGGATTTTCTAAGTTGTGATGGAACTAAGGTTTTTGACCGATTGTTTTGGGTTTAATTGATTGCATTGGGTTAGTTTAAGTATTTAATCGGTGTAGTTTCCTTGGATTTAAAGAATCTTGAATTTTTGGAGTTAGGGTTTATGGAAATAGGAGGTTTGTGATTGAGGATGACAATGTGGAGGTTGATTCTGAGTTTTGTGAATTAGGTTATATTAAGGAGGGTTAAATTGGATGTTTAATCGGTTTAGATTTGTTGTTGGAACCTTAATTGCTCAAATGGGATGTTTGGGTGTTGAATTCTTATAGTGGGTCCTTGAGGTTTGAACTCTAATTGATGCTTGGAAGGAGACTTGATGTTTTAATAGACTTTTAGGACTTTGAAGAGTTGCCTTGATAGTTATACCCTTTGAGTTGGGTAGAGTTTGGTGAGAGATAGGAATTTTGTGTCCCCAAGTGTTGTTTTTGGCCACATTATTAGTTTGAAAGCTAATATATGATGGTTGTGTGTTTGTGTGCTTGTGTAGACCGGTTGTGAGTCTTGGTGGTGCACGGGGCCACATCGTTGGTTTGTTATTCCTTGCTCAGGCGAGAGGTAACCACTTTCCAATCCTTACTACTTGCTTCTGTGGTTTTGTGAGTAGATTTATGTTTTGTGCTCTAAGTAGTAATTATGTTCAAACTGTATGTTGTGTATAAAAAGGAAAACCGTCTTGTGGGGTTTCGACTAATGATGAATGAATTTTGGAATTGTGAAAGATAGGCCACTGAATGAGGTTAATTGTGAAATGATTATTACTCTGTGATTACGATTTGAGCATGATGCATTAATTGGGAATTGGTGAGAGTTTTGTCTGTTACTACCACGTGGTAAGGCCTCCATTAATGCATGATGGTTGGCTTAGTACGTCCCCCATAGTGAGGGATAGGCCTTTTGGCTCCTTACGTCCCCCAAAGTGAGTGATAGACCTTTTATGGCTCCTTACGTCCCCCATAGTGAGGGATAGGCCGGCTTCGGCTCCTGAAAATCCCCCAAAGTGAGGGATTTGGTTGTTGGGATTGCATCATTGCACTTGCATAATTTGTTGTGGCTATCTCGTTATTATACTATTTGTGAACTGCCCCACTTGACACCTCACGAGCACCTATTTAGTAGTACCTAGTATTGGAAAGGTTGGTTACTGGGACTTTGTCTCACCCCGTGGTTTACAATGTTTTCAGGTGAAGGTTCCGGGCGTGGGCCATCGGGAAGAGATGCAGAGGCTTGAGCTTGGTTAGCTTTAGGCCTCTAGCATTTGTATATGTATGACTAGTATATATTGCCACATTTAGGACTGCTTTTGAAATATTTGATTACCCGGCCTTGTTGTAAACTGGAGAGAATGTATCTCCTTATTTTGGTTGGCCGGAGGCCATTATTGGTGTCTTATGAAACTCTGGATTATTTTGTTGGGAATCTTTTAGATGGGCTGATGTGATGTTTGTTGTTACCCGGGCCGGAGGCTCGGAGGCCCAGTAGATGTAAATGAATGATTTTCAGTTGCATGCAACGGTTTAAATGTGAATTCAAAATTATGCAAATTTCTTCCTACTATGGTAGTTCATTTAACAGATTTTTCTTTTCTACCATAGTAGTGATTTTTGATGAGTTATAAGGTTTTTAAGGTTAAGGGTTTTTACATTCTCGGTCGAACCTTCCTGGTGGCAGGAAGCTGGGCGGGGAGAACAGAGCAGCTGGACATGCGAACGAGCTGGAGGCGGCTGGGGAAAAAAAGACAGGGGACCGGCGCTGAGGTCCAGAGAGCCGACGGCGCAACACGAAGGACCATTCATCATCTTCTCCGTTGAACCTTCCTGGTGGCAGGGGGCGCTCGACGGAGACACACACACTGGACGGCACTGAAGGAGAGATGCGGAACGAGCTGGGCGGCTGGAAAAACAGAGTAGCCGACGGAGACAAACATAGCAACACAAGGACCAGCGTGGACGAGCGGAAGAGAGGGAGAGAGGCAGAGGTCAACGACGTCATCTTCTCCTTCTTCACTACTGCATCAACGTCTTCTTCACTGAATCAGAGGAGACCAGCGACGGCGATCATCTTCTCCTTGCCGCCCAGCTCGCGTTCCGTCCTTCTTCCCATGGGATCCTGTAGCAAAATTCTGAATATGGCATTTCTCATGGCAAACCGTGGCCAAGATCCTCTAATTCTCTAATTCAACAACAATGGCAGGAGCTTAGATCATCAAAGGGGAGTTTTAGTTGCTTTAATTTCTTACTCAATAATTGTTTAACAATTCCTAGGTCTTAGGATAGTTTTCTGATTGTTGGGATAATTGTATTGCTTAATCTGATTATATTTGGAGATTATTGTGACTGAATTATTGCTTAGCATTTGACATTGGGCTGTTTATAGCTTTGATTTCAATTATAATGTTGTGGTTATGACATTTGTATTGATTTTGGAGTTAATATATTGTGATTTTCTGAGGTGGCTTAGACTCTTGGATCATATTGTCTCTTGCTAGCTTTAATTCTGTTGTTTTAGATTTAAGAGTTCTCATTAGGCATTGGTTTTTAGCATCCTTAATCCCTTTTTATTATTCTAGTTGCAGTTAGTAAGTTGAGATTTTAGGAAAATATTTTGTGGCAATTCGAGGTGGCTCGGTTGTTGGATTAAAAGCTTAATTATAATTCTAAATTCATTATTTTAACTCCTGTATCTTTTGGAGTGAGGATTGCCTGCGTTGTTGAATTGGAGGATTAATTGTTATCATTGTTATTTGTGTGTTTCATTTTTGTTTCTTTAATCTTCATTCATTTTAATCATTTTTATATATATAAAAAATATTTTAATTTCAATTTAATTCAAGGTGTTTAGTTAGCAATTCTTCAAAATCAAAAGCCTGTTTATAGTTTAGGTTATTTGCATTTATTTACTAGGGCTTAATTTCGTTTTCGGCTCCTCAAAGTGAAACGACCCGAGTTTTGCATTATATTGCATTAATTCGGTTAATTTTTGAAGTAACCCCAAAGCGACAATTAAGGGAAGTTCACTTTAAGTTCCTTGCCATTTGAGGATCCTATACCATTTGATATACCAGTATATGGCCCCTCGCCAATACAGTCAAAGGCGAAGCTTTCAGGGCCTGAAGCGTTCGGGAGTCTGAGTTCAATGGAGTTTTTCATGCCAGCCTTGAAAATCACTTCACCAGAGCGAAGGCGAAGGCGAAGGTTGCTGCAAATGAGAGTAACAGAAGAAAACAGAAAATTGGGGAAGAAGAAGAAGGCTTCATGGGTTATAGTGATGGAGAGATCATCGAGAAATAAAGCATACACACGCATATGTACCGTGGAATGAGTGCTCCTTCCCCTTCCTTTTTCTTGTCAGATCAAAATTTTAATGGTGTACATTTAATATTTTGAAAATTAATCCATGCAGTTCAAAATATAAGATGAATTTTATTATAGGGGCTTCACATTTTTTATAAGATAACATTTATTTTTATCTGAACATTTAATGAGTTTTGTATTCTCTTTCTTCTTTAATTCATTTATTGTTTTACATATTTTACATATTTATTGTTTTAAATTGATTTTGACTAATTTCTTGATAAATATAAATAGGTAAAGTTTATCTTATATTTTAAGTGGAGGGAGTATCATGATAATTTTACATAAAAAATGTATAAATAATAAAGGATTGAAGTTCAAGTTGTGTCAAAGGAATTGACTTTTCGCTGTGAAAAATTTATTAGCGAAAGATTGAAGTCAAATGATCCTGTTTGCTGCTTCCACGTGTCAAATAGATGATCCATGTATCTGTAGAGGGTAGTAGATTTTATTAAATATTATGTTTGACTTGAGGTTTTTGTTTTAATTCGTCCAATTTTCCTTGTATCTCAAAAAAAAAAAAAAGTAAGTTTAACAAAAAGAAATTTAGGGCCTAGGTTGATTAGAGTTCAAATTTGTCGGAACTCAATATAGTTTTAAATATTGGATTGTTTGTCCCCAAAACAAAGTGAGATTAGATGACTTTTACATCTTTTATCTAATTTTCAGTCCATTTATTATAATTTAAAATTGGACAGTATTGAATCTTTATAACCTTTTAACATTATTTATTCACGCCGACATTAGATAGGTTGACATAGTGTACTTAGTTGTGTCAATTAAAGATTGTAAATTATCAATTCGTGATAGCGTCGTTATGGTTGCAAGCTGCTTTTCTACGTAGTTGGTAGTTTCAAAATTTCAATATATTTTCAATTTTTCATTTTGAAAAGCCTGAGGCTTAACTGTTTCACTTTTTTAGTACTATTGTAATTCATGAAATAGTTAGAAGTGATTTGGAGGTTATGACAGGAGATCAAATCATTTCACAATTGTAAAGATTCATAATTTTTAGGTCAATTATACAAAAAGATAATGAAATTAATAGAGATGTCAATCATTAAATTTAAGTTGGGTGGTTTACATAGAGAAATGCTATTGGAGCTATTTGTGACAAAAAAAAATACTCCTCCAATTCTAAATATAAGACCCTTTTTATAGTGTAATTTACACTATAAAAAGAGTCTTATATTTAGCATTGGAAGAGTACCTAATAAGGTGGAAGGAAAATTTTATTGCACTATATGTGGTAGTAAATGTCAGGTTTTAAAAGGAGAATATGGGCATATAGTGGGGGTAAAAAGATGTTGAAATAAACACGTGGTCACATAAAAAAAATAAGATTCATAACAAGTATGGATATATTCATGAAAGAGTGGGCATGGCATTTATTAAAAAATGGTAAGAAAATTATTTGAAGTGGTTTGGACACATTTAAAGAAGGCCATTGAATGTATTAGTGAAAAAGGTATATCAAACAGTATAGAATTCTTTAAAAAGAAGTATAAGAAGACCAAAAAAAACAGTCAATGAAAATATTAAGTGAAATCTTTTTAGTTAATAATTATATAAATATTTGGTTATTGATAAAGTATAATAATATCCTATTTACATAACCGATCCCAATTAATGAAATAAGCATTTGTTGTCGCTGCGGTATTGCAAATCAAATAAAGTAAAGCGACCATAAGGATCAGCAGACCCAATTGGCTTCACAGCAAGTAGAGGAAAATTTTTCGTACCGTTATTATATCGTTTGAAAAAAAAAAAGGACGTACTAAAGAAGTAATGACAAGATTTTGATGCTTAATTATGATAGAAGTATCAACAAGATGGATATTATTAACTAAAATTTGATAGACCAATGCTCATTAAAAATTCAAGAAAATTATTGAAAATAGGAGCATATATATGATACGTAGCCCAATGCATGATGCACCACGTACGTAGAAGACTTTAATTAACATGTTCAAGCTCAAAATAGAGACAAGCTACCAAAAAAAAAAAAGTTAAGGCGTTAAAAATTGTTAGGATTTTTCCATAGAGTGAAAATCAATTTTGAAGCATGATAACACATTAAGTGAAAGAATTAGCAAGCTAATTCGAAAATTAAGAATAAAAATATGCTTTCATCAACAAAGTAATTAAGGCATCAGATAGCAAGGTTAACACATTAAATAGGGATTTAATGTGAAAAACATTTTTGATTGCCTTCTAAATTTTGTAAAATCAAAGTGTTGTTAACCTCCTTTAACCATTATATTGATGAGAAGCTAATTTTCATGTGAAAACAAAGCTCTCCAAGACTCTTTTGCATGAGATACAAAGACTAAAAAATTTTTAAAAAAAAAGTGAAAAAAAAAATCTGAAGTTTCTTAGTCTTCTCTTCTCTTGTATCCCTTCAACTTGATAATTTTGTCATATAATATGCAAATCTTTTACTAGTTTTGTCATCATTAAAAAAGGTTATTCAATATTCTTTTCTTTTTTATAATGACAAAACCTTAGATGAAGTTCGTAAGCTCATAAAATTAAAGTTTGCTTCCTCTTAATCTCGGCATACAGATAAGAAATTAAAGAACAAGAGAACAATAATAAAGCATAACGGGAATATAAGTAATCATTTCATTCAACTAAAGATATTCAATACATAGCAAGTTTGAATGAAATGCAACAAGTTTGATATAACAAAGATACAACTATATTGTATCAAAGATAAAAACATTATAAAGAGAACAATATATGGAAAAGCTAGGCATTATTTACTATGGCAACATAATCTTTCACAGAAGACCCTATCCACAACTTCCCATCATGTTCTTCCACTTCACTTACAGAGTTAAGCTCTTGGCCTCCACCACCATCCAGAACCTCCAAAGCCTCTCCATTTTCATCAAGTCTTACTGCAACAGGGTCTTCTTTTTTCCACCACGGCATTAAAGTCTCTTTCTGCATAATTGCATTATGATCTGCATTTCCAAGCACTGCCCTATAACTGTTCAGTGCCACCCAGAAATCTCCATTGTTATTGGTCTTGATATTATCTGGGGACCTTTTAAGTGTTGCAAAAAGTTCTGAAGTGTAGGCTTTAGAACCTTTTAGCCACACCTTGTGAATGATGTTAAAAGTTGATTCTGCTAACAGAAGGAATGATCCATCCTTGCTTAGAGCCACACCATTTGGAAATGCAAAGCCCTGGACCAAGACTTGTGCTTTCTTACTACTTGGGTCATACTTAAGCAATCTTCCTGTCCTATCTCCTGTAAGGACTACCAATTGGAACTCCCTTTCATGCACAAGGAGAAAGCTTTAGAGTTTATTTACTTAAATTTGAAGCTATGGAAGTAAAGAAATAAATAATTACGCAGCAAAAGTAGCATGTATATATGTATATATAAACCCTAACACACCTTCTTTGGAATACTGTACTGCTATCCGAGAAATAAACAACACCAGATTTTTCATCAATGTCTAAGGCATTGAGGAACTGGAAAGGAGAGCCATCATTAGCAGAAGTGGCTAGTTGTTGAGCTACACCACCACTTGGTCCCACCATTAAGAGGCCAAAGTATGCATCTGCTATGTAAAGATTACATGTTTTCTTGTGAAATTTGAGTCCCAGTGGCCTCCCACATGTAG